TCGCTTTGCAAAGACGAGCCGTGCGCGCCGGACGCGGGTCGCGTGGTGCGAAGAGCAAGTTTCAGCAGGTAGCGGCCCGCGCGAGTTCACGCAGTTTTCAGTTTTCGTGTTTATGCCCGGAGCGTGTGCGCGCGTAGATGTGCTTGTTCCCCCCCTTCGGGTTCCCGAGGGGCGGTCGCCACGGGTCAGGCGCTTTAAACCGTGAAAGGCACGGCCGAATCAGGGTTTTGGCGGAATTTTTCCCTTTTTTTTTTTTTTTTTCTTTTTAATAAGAGTCTGATGCTGTTCCCGGAATGTTGGAAGTAGCAGAGACCATGTGGAGCATGTTGTCCTTGGTGAGTAGTCTGCGGTGTTGAAGAAAGTAGGCGGCTGGGAGGCGTCTCAGTCCAGGCGGTGTGCTGTACCCGAGGCTGTTCTGGTGCCTCTTCGGCTGGGACTGAGGTTCTGTTGAGGTTTGGTCGCTGTCTCATCAAAGGGCCGCTGTGACTGCCAGTTTCCATCCCTGCTGTGTGGAGAGCACTGGATACGATCTGGGCCGGGAAGTGAGATAATTTGCCCGGGCAGAAATTGGTATGGCCAGGAGTAGACCCCCAAGACTGGTGTGTTTTAAGCGAAGAGGGCAGCTTTATTTATACCCTGCTGTTTGGAAGCAACTCAGACATCGTATCGACTCATCTGCAAATATTTCAGTGTTGGTAAGATAAGGACCCTAGAAAGCTGGTGTTTCGATGAGGCAAAGCGGTGACTTTATTGCCTTGAGAGCTAAGATCTTGTGGATGTGTTCATCAGTGAATTCATTATCAGGAGTGTTCTTGTATAAAGTCGCTTTCTGGGGAAGGCATGTTAACATGAGCTAGCTAATGAACTACAGCAGGGTTTTCAGGGAGTGAGTCAGCCAGGGTTGACATTAGCATATAATCAAATTTGATTAAAGATGGAAGCAGACTACTAAGACTGATTTGTGAGTAGATTGAAAAGGGTTTCTTAAAATACAAATTCCTTCGCAATTGGTCATTAGCAAGCTTCAGGCTAGTTTTTGCCAAATGTGTTGTGAAATAAAAACTAATCTTGGAGCATATTGTTAGCCCCCAAACTACAGAAAAGTTACAATTCTTAGCATTTGTATGTGTGGTAACGCTGAATTCTCATGTCTATTCTAAAAGCTTTCCATTTACCAACTTAATATTCCTTAAAACAATTTTAATCGAAGTAGTCTGACTCCATAGCCTGAACTCTTGAGTCATCTCTCAGGTCTGTGTCACCTCTTGTCACAGTAACTGTGTGACCTCAAATTACTTAACCTCTCTGTGCCTGTTTCCTCATTTTTAAGGATTGTAATGGTATCTTTCTTTATAGGATTGACGAGTGGTTAAATACTTAAAGCACTACCTGACACAGAGTTGAGGCTTCAGTAGAGGTTACCTGTAAAAAAAAAAAAGGAGAAAGCTCTGAAAAAATTACGCTCAAATTTTATGCCTTTAAATTATTTCCTTTAAAAGGTAGTAAAATAGACTAACTGGTATTGAATGTCTGGTAGAGCTTATAATTATCATATAATAATTTGCTCTAGGCAAAACTTAGGGTGACTAAAAGTAGATTTGCTTTGTTTTACTGGTTTGTATATTTAATTGCTTCATATTGGTTTCTTTACAGGTTTCTTTACCTCCAGAAAGAAGAAAAATTGGCATCTTGCATTCTGGAAGTCCATTAAGAGTCTGAAGTCAGGGACTTCTTTCAGATTTGGACATGGCTAGTCGAGGAGCAACGAGACCCAACGGGCCCAATACTGGAAATAAGATATGCCAGTTCAAACTAGTGCTTCTGGGCGAGTCCGCTGTCGGCAAGTCGAGCCTGGTGCTTCGCTTTGTGAAAGGCCAGTTTCATGAGTTTCAAGAGAGTACCATTGGGGGTGAGACATTTGTTTTCTCTGCTTCATTTGATTGAATCATTCATTTGACAGAAAATATTTTGGAGTTCCAGTTGTGTGATTATAAATAACTAAGTAGGTCATAGATTGAAGAAAAGAGCTGTTCAGCTGACCTTAAGCTTTAAGATCTACCTTTATCTTTGTTAAAGTGATCTCTTTTTTCTTTGTTAATCCCCAGTGCAGTTGTATTGTAGCTAAAATACAGATATGAGTAGAATCAGTGTCTCAAGTAATAAAATTTGGTTTGGTATTTTTCTTACTAATGACTGAAGTTTCTTCAAGATAACACTTTTCGTGGTTATCTTCAGTTATATTGGCTTTAGATCGAATAGGAGTTCACCTTAAATTCTAATTCTGTTTCACTGAACAGTTTGTAAACTTATGTATACTGATTTGTAAAGTTGAGTATGTTTCATTAAATGGCATTAGATACAACTTTTTTGTTTAAAAGACTGGGGCTCCCACTCTTACCCAGTCTGCATTGGCATGATTAGAGCTTTCTGCAGCTTCAAACTTGGGCTCAGGCGATCCTCCCACCTCAGCCTCCCAAGTAGCTGGGCCTACAGGCAGGTATCACCATACTACCATGCCTGACTAATGGGTGTTTTAGAACAGGGTCTTGCTGTGTTGCCCAAATTGGTCTTGAACTCCTGGCTCAGCCTCCTGAGTACCCAGGATTATAGAAGCTAAGATATACATGCAAGAATACTGCTGGGGTGGAGAAAGAGAACCAAAAAGTGATTAACGGTGAGGGATGTGACAGAAAAATGGAGCCTAGAGAGAAAGATAAAAGAGAGAGAAGAGGTAGAGTAAGACCGCACGAGGTGGGACTGAGGAAAAGGTAAGATGCAGGACAAAAAGGAGACAGCTAACGGTGTGGTGGTGTTGAGGAAAGACTGGGAATTAGAAAAATTAGAAAACTTAAGCCAGGTGTGGTGGTACATGCCCATAGTTCCAGCTGTTGGGTAAGCTGAGGCTGGAGGATTTAGCCAAGGAGTTAAGAGTCTCAACTGGGTAGCATAGCGAGACTCTGTCTCTAAGGAAAAAACACTGACTTCAATCAAAGAAACCTGTAGTTAGACCCAATAGTGAGGCAAGACACCTTCTTTTGGGCCTCAGTTTGATTTGTAAAGTGATGCTTTTCAGTTAGATGATGGAACCACATGGCTTTGAGTTTCACAATATTTTGTGATATATAGTTACACAGTACTATATTTTCTAAGGTATTCATTGATATATTTTAGCCCCATACTTTTAAATAAAGGTCAGACTTCTGAAATACATAAGACAAATGGGTCATCACTGACTTGTGATAACTTACAATCTGTCTTTCCGAAGCAAAACTTGGTACTGGGTGATTAGTGGATACTGTTAAGCAAATACACTTAGGAATGTTATTCATACTCTCAGACCCTTCTAGTAAGATACATTACTGAACTCTCACTATCTTCTGATTTTTTTCCTACATGTAAGAAGCATACTAGGAAAGTGCTATTTTCATTTTAATAGACTTAGATTGTTAGCCTCTTGCCTTTGTATGTCATGTTACAACGTTACATTGTTTGAATTTTTTAAAAAATCATTACTGAGCATCAGAAAGTATCATGAAGCTCTTGAGTCAGAAATCTTGGCATTTTTTAAAATGTCAGTGCACAATATATCATACATCCTATGTGATTTTTGTTCATATCTGGTTTAGTAATGAAATGTTAACCTCAGGAAACATTTGGCCTCCACCACAAGCAATTTGGGTCAAAACCAAGCGGCCCATCTGGTAGGAAGAGTCCTGAAAACTGCTAGGTTATGTCTCCCACCTTAAACCACTTGCTTGTCAGTGGCGGTGTTTCCCAAAGTATATATGCATTCTGGATTAAATACCTGGGCCAGATAAGTATGGACCTTGCTATACGAGGGGGGACCCCCGAGAAATCGAATGATCCTTTGGTGGGCGGGCCCCTTGTAGGACACTTGGAATTCGTTCCTCTGGATCAAACGGTCAACCCAAGTTTTTATCTGGAAGTTCTGAGAAGGTTGCATCATGACTTGAGAAACATCCCAAATTGTGGTGACTGATTCTTCCACCATGACAGTGCACCTGCCCACACTGCCCTGAGTGCTCAGCAGTTTTTGACTGAAAAACAGTATGACCCTCATGCCCGATCTCCCTATTCACCTGGTTTCACCCTGAGTGACTTTCTTTTTGTTTCTCTGGTGAAAAAAAGTCCTTAAAGGAAAACTGTTTGCCAGTGTGGAAGAGGTGAAACAAAGAGCAGGATCACTAAAAGGCATCAAAGTTGACAAGTTCAGAAACTTTTGAGTGTTGGAAAGAGCATCTGGATAGGTGTATGGCATCCGACCGGGAGTGCTTTGAAGGTGACTGAAGTTTAAACATGTTAAGGATAAATATAAATTTTTAATAAATGAATTCTGGGTTTTTGAGGTCCCCCTCATATGCTACCCTTGCCTCCATTAAGATAATAAAAACTCTGTGACGGACTATACCACAAAACTTAATTCTGGGAAACTTGGCAAGATCCTAAGACTAGAATTTTTATTGTTTTGGATAATACAGTCATCTTCTAAGTTTATTTTTTCTAATGACATCTCAAAAGAATGTTTAAAAGAAGCATTAAAACATCAGTGAGCCTCGGTGGCTCAGCCTGTAATCCCGCGCCTTTGGGAGGCTGAGGTGAGTGGATTGTCTGAGTCCGCGTGTTCGAGACCCGCCTGGGCAGCGAAACCTCATCTCTACAATAAATAAAAAAATCAGCCAGGCGTGGTAGCGCGGGCCTGTAATTCCGGCTACTCGGAAGGCTGAGGTGGAGGGATCGCCGGAGCCCAGCAGGCGAGGCTGCGGTGGCCGGGAGCTGCCACTGTACTCCAGTCTGGGCGACCGAGTGAGACTCCAACTCCAAAAAAAAAAAAAAAAAAAATCAGTGCATCATAAGAGCTCATCAGACATAGGTGTCTCTATATGTAGTCTCCATTTTCACTTAACACCAGTTAGACTGTATAGTTCATTAATGAATTTTTCATAAAGATTGCCATTCCTATGTGTAAAGCTTTCTTAATATTTCCCACTTGTATGGATAGAATACAGCTGTTTAAAAAGAATTTGCATCCACATTTCTTGTGTTAATTCTCATTGGAAACTTTTTCATTATGCTGACTGCATATTATTCAGGAGATAGGACAGTACTATCATGAGTACAGCTGTGGGCACTGTTCTTTTATGTTCTTTGCTCACAGTTCTTCACCCTTAGGAACTATAGTAGCTTCTAAGTACTGAAGAATTTCAAGGCTTGAGTTATTTAATGTTTTTATTTTGGCTGATGTGTGGTGGAAGTTACCTAAAAAGTGAACCTGGCCAACTCTGTTGCACATCATAGCTCCTTAGTTTTTACTTGACTTTATATCACTTAAAATTTTCATCTCTATTTGATTGTGTTCGAAGGCGGAAATCATGTTGCATTCCTGAATTTGTGGATTCTGGATTCATCAAGAATATCAAAATTTCTTCTGCAGTTTGTGTGGCTCTTTAAAATGATAACATGATTCAGGAATTCTTTTTGTCTCACTATACCATGTACTCCTGACCCAGTGGCGCTCTCGGTGACTTAGGTGCAGCGGGATTAGCAGTTTGGGGGCTTTCTAGCTTGTTTGTAGGGGTTTGAAGTTTGCCTGATGTTTAAGTTCCTATTGTTTGTCTGATACCAGCCCAGAGATTAGTGAGGAGCACTACGCGTGGAGAGTTCTGCCTTCTTCACTTGCCGTCTCATCTCTGGGTTCTGCAAGCTCTTTTTTTCAAGGAGAAGTGCTTCATACCACAGTTTTAATTTGGTGTGCGCTGATCAATAAACGTTTTGTAGATTCTAAAGTTTACTTAGGTGATGGAACTATATGTGAAAATAGGGACATTAACAACATTCCTCTTGCTGATGATGTGGTTTTTTTAGTTTTAGCTTGTTTATTTGAGTCAGAGTCTCACTGTGTTGCCCAGGCTGGAGTACAGTCCCATGCTCACAGCAATGGCAGCTGTGACCTGCTGGACTCAGGCAGTCCTTACACCTCAGCCTTCCAAGTAGCTGGAACTACAGGTGTGCGCTGCCACACCTGGCTCATTTTTTTAATTGTAGAGATGAGGTCTCGCCAAGTTGCCCAGGTTCTGGTCTTGAACCCCTGGGATCAGGCAGTCCTCTTGCCTCTGCCTCCCAAAGTGGTGGGATTATAAGTGCATACCTTGTAAGCTTTAGTTTAGAGTAATGGTTCTCAAACCGTGTCCCTTGTTCCAGAAACATCTGTATTATGTGGGAACTCGTTAAAATGCAAATTCGCATATTAAATCAAAACGCGAGGGTGGGGACAGCGATCTAAGGTTTCAACAAGCCCTCCAGATGATTCTGATACATGCTAAATTTGGAGAACCACTGCGTTATATGTTCTGAGTGGTCCATTCATTTATACTAAAGTTGGTTCTCCCACAAGTGGAATCGTTGCTTTTTTTTTTTTTTTTTTTTAGAACTGTCATTCTCGTAGGATTTTCAAAAGCATTGTTCATGTAGCTACTGTTGTGTGAGAATTGCAGGTGTTGTACTGTCACATCACATGCTATCTGCTGCGTCTGTAACATGAGAGCCCCTTCCTGCTACACTCAGTCTTCTGCTAGGCACCTTGAAGCGAGTGTGACCCCATTCTTTGTCCCATGAAGGGTATTTGCCTTTTCTCTACTTAGGGAGTATTCATAGTTTTCAGTCACCTATACCAATATGCTCTCATTTAGTGCCACAAGTAATCAAGTACTGACTATACACAAAATTAATTAAAGAAATTAAGCACAATTATTAACCTTAAGTGGAATGTTGCTTCTACTTCTTTTTTTATTTTTTAAGTTTTTGAGTCAGAGTCTCACTCTGGAGTGCAGTGGCATGCTCAAGACCACCGTGGCCTCAACCTGTGGGCTCAGGTGATCCTTCCCCTTCAGG